GAGGTCTGGCGGATGCGTCCAGGGTGCGAAGGCGACTATGCCATTGCTGTCGGCGGTGCCTTTGTCGGGGACGAAGTCAAGAACGAAGACGTCATCTTGTTGGATTGCGCGGCCGATGAAGACCCCCCCTTTTCCGTGGTAAAGACGGATTTCCCGGGCGTCGGAGTCATACTCCAGGTGAATGCCTTTCGACATGAGTTGGCTGACGCTGAGTAAGTTGAAGCCTAGGTTGTCGACGACGAGTACTTTGTTTAACTGAAGAATGACATTCGTTTCGTTTGACTGAAGCTCCACGATTCCTTGCTTGTCCGTGCGCAGGTTTTCGTTGTTGGCGACGGTAATGATAACATCTCGCGGAAGTCGTCGTTCGCGTTGAAGAAATCGCGATGAAGAACACATGTGGTGACCACAGCAGCTGTCGAGGAACCATGTGTCGGGTCCAGTGGGTGTACTATTTGCGACGGCGGCATATGTCGGATTCACATTGAAGGATGACGGTGGCAATGATGGTCGCTCGTCGGGACTGTAAGTCGGTGGTGAATTGGTAATGCACGAGTCAATGTTTGACTCTGTTGTTCGTGCCATGGCGACGATTCTTGATGTTTGTGCAGGTCCCGAAGTGGAAGTTGGTGGTCGCGTTGAAGTAGTCGTTGAGGCGGTCGTGGGTCGTTGTTGAGTTGACGCGATGTGAGGAGGTGCTGGTCGCAGAGGACGAGAGAATGGTGCTGGCTGTCCTTGTTGCTGAGGGCAGTTGAAGCGTGTATGTCTTGAAGTCCGACACAGATGACAGTAAGGAGGTACGTGTCCTCGATTTTGGTAACGTGGCTGTCGTCGATTGGTGTAAAGAACGACTGGTTGATGATGCCTTTTGTTGTTGCGTTCTTCGAACAGGTCCATTTCCTGCTGCTCGGCGTGAAGTTCGGCGCAGAGATGCATTTCGGAGAGTCGACCATGAGCACGAACATGTGAACGGGTGGTACGCCATTGAGGTCCAAGGCCGGCAAGAACGACTGTTACGAAAGCTTCTTCAGATAAGTTTCCTCCGCAGCGAATAAGTCTGTCGCGTTGTCCTTGACAGCGGCTGATGTAAGGCATGGCCTTTTCTCTAGGTTGCATTTGAATTGTTGTCAGTTGTGCCATGAGTCTGCTTTGTGTAACGCTGTCGGATGCTTGATGAATGCTTCGCAGATGTTGATAGGCGAGTTCCGCGGAGTTTGCGTAGTTCCGGTAGGCGCGGATGCTTTGTTGTTCGTTCGGCGACAAGTTTCGGAGAAGAACGGTGTAAGCCATCAGGGAGTGATACGTATAATTTTCTTTGTCTTTGACTTCGCTGTAGTGTGGATATGGCCAGGTACCGTTGAAGAACCCAAGAAGATTCGCGCCTTCCATCAGGAGTTCAAACTCGAAACTTCATGAATAGAAGTCTTTCCCATTGAATGGTGTGGATGTGTGCAGTCGCACGATGTTGTTGAACTGCGTTTGTACTTGCAGGACTTCTTCGGTGTCTCGTTTGATGGCGGGAAGAGGAGTCGCTGGATGGCGAGGCGGCATGAATGTGAAGGAACCAGGTGAGACCGAATTTGGTGTTTGTTGATTATGTCGTCCGAACGATGAGTTGTCAATACTCATTGGTGCCGCTCCGTTGTTTACGCTGTTGCTGTTTGCAGGTTGTGATTACTGCTGCTGCGACATGAAGTTGAAGAACTGCTCCATTAAGCTTGGGTCGAAGTTTGTTGGCGGCGCTACTGGCGCCTGAGTGGATCGTTCCGTTGTTAATCCGGACGTTGTTCCTCCTTCGGTCTGCAACTCGGAGACCGGGGGTAGAGTAGATCCCGTAGATGACCTTCTCTCTTTGCCACTTGCCATGTCTTGCCTTTCTTGAATGAAGATTGAACTTCTTGTTTGCTTGCAGATTGGTAGCCTGGAAGAGGCTTAGTGACGAGAGCCTTTGTTCTCTGACTGCTCTCATACCATGTTGGGCTGAGGATTTCAGCCTTAGGATCTTTGTAGAGAATAGGCTAGTAGGTGCTAGAGTAGCACAGCGGAAGACTTGAGTGAATGTACTTGTGCTAGTATGTGAGAACAAGTAATTGATTATAGCAAAGGGCATACAGGAATATATAGGAAAGATAGATTACAGGAAGCGGTTATGTTTATCGAGACGCGTAACTCTTCGACTATCGAGGCAGTTACTGTTCACTGAAGCGTCGCTTGCTGTTACGTAACCTCCAGGCGGTTACAGCTCGCAACCTCCAGTTGCGGTTTGATGTGGTACGCGCCTTTTCGACTTCATACCCCTTTTCTTGTGCTTCAGTATCGGGTGAGGTTCGATACTACAGAAACGCACTAAGTCATGCGTTTATATTCCCAACAAAACAGAAGTGAAATGATGGCAATAATAATTATAAATGTGTACAGCTGTCGACTTTTCAGGAGACTTGAAAACAATATTCAAACATGAATGAGGTAAGATATGCAGTTATGTTTGTTGAGATACATTACTCAAAATGTTGTAACACTGTGCCAAAGCAGGAGCACCCTTGCAATATGCATCAAACATTTTGGTATAGACAATCAAATCTGCAAGGTCCGGTACTTCTGATCGTTCTAGAAGTGCCCATTTACCTGCACACAAACAACCCATCTCTGTAAACTCTGGGCCAAGGAATATGCAAAATCTTCCTTCGTTAACTTGAAAAGGGAATTCTGCAATTTGTTTTTACCGTGTAAAGGAGCCAAGGTAGAGAACCAGCCCAGACCTTGAGCAGCGAGAATGGCGGCACCTTTCACCCCAACTTCCTGAAATGCATTCACAACGGACAACGAGAGCAGGACTCGAGTTGTAGCAACAAACAAAGCAATGCATGTGGTGCCTTGTATGGGACCACCACATGCCTTGCACAACACGCACACACCAGTTTGGTTTAACCCCAACACACCATGTAACGTATAGTCATCTCAAACGTCCTCACAAGATACGAGACACCTTGAAAGTGCTAAGCAGTTTTGAGGTGCCGTGAGAACCACATGGCGCCAGTTTACTGAAATGAGATAATTCCACCTGAGAATCAGCGAAGCAGTCGATTGGCCGGTTGAACACGGATGCCATTATGCGGACCCAAGTAGACGAGCTGGGGAGAGAGTGGTGGAAGGGGGGGAGAGGGGGGAGAACGGCGGAGGGGTAGGGAAACATCAAGTTGACTAAATTTCACCTCCGGTGAACACGGATGCCATGATGCGAACCCAAGCTGAAAAGCTGGGGAGAGAGTGGGGGAGGGGGGAGGGAGGTTGGGTGGGAAAGGGGGAGGGTGGGAGTGGAGGGTGAGGGGGAGCATAGGGTGGAGGGGTAGAAGATGCATATTTTTAGGAGAAAATTGAACTCAAAATCACCTCCAATTGAACAAGGATGCCATGATGCGAACCCAAGTTGACGAGCTGGAGAGAGAGAGAGTAGCGTGGGGGAGGGAAGGGGGGACGGGTAGAAAATGTAGATTTTGACGCAAAGTTACAGCTAAAAAAAAACCTCTTGTTGAACCAAGGATGCTTCTGAGTTAACTCAAAAATCACTTCCAGTTAAACACAGAATGCCATGATGCGAAACCAAGCTGATGAGCTAGAGGGAGTGGGGAAGGTGGCAGTGAAAATTGCAGAGGGTTGAGGTGGATGAGAGGAGACAAGCCATTAAAAAAAAAGTCCACAGGAAGGATGAGAGGAGACATAGACACATGAAGATTTGGAGAAGGTTAAACGAGACAATTCTAGGGCTTCTAGATGTTTAGAAAAAAGTAGGCATAAAAAATGGTTGAAAGGGTAAAAAAAAAAATAAGGAAGAAATTTTATCAAGCATACGTGAATGGCATCTGGATAATGCAAAGTAAGAAAAAAAGAAAGGTCAAACAATTGCAATTTATGGAGTGGTAACATGATGAGGAGAGTAAGAGATGGTAACAACGTTGCATGGACATACCGAGCGCCACCACCAACAATGCGCAGAGCAGAAGGGTTGCTGCTTCTGACTTTTGTGGTGCCTAAAAAGGCTTCTGTGGCGCCTAAAAAGGGTTTTGTGGCGCCTAAAAAGGCTTCTGAGCCGCCTCAAAAGAAGGAACGGTGACAGCATTGCATGGACATACCGAGCGCCACCACCAACAATGCGCAGAGCAGAGGGATTGTTGCTTCCGCTCCCACCACCGTGTGCGTGCATGGCGGTGTGGGCGGAGAGCAGTGCATATGCCACTCCCTCTTGGACCTGCGGGGATGAGTGATGGAGGGGAAGGAATTAGTGGGAAATGCAGGGATGAGGAGTGGCAGTGGAAAGAAGTCTTGCACGTTTGGCTGGCGGTGTTGGCTGATAGCAGTGCATTTACCACTCCCTCTTGAACCTGAGGGGATGAGCAGAGGAGGGAAGGTAGAAAAGGGCAGGAACCGCAAGTGGGTGGGGTAGTGGAAGGGGCAGGGATGAACAGTAGCAGCGACAAGAGGTCCTGCTTGTGTGCTTGGCGGTGTGTTGCTGAGAGCAGCAGAAGAGCAACGGAAGTGACAAGATATTTTCATACGTACATGGCAGCATGGGCCAAGAGGAGGGCGTATTATGCGTACCATACCATACCATACCATACCATACCATACCATACCATACCATACCATACCATACCATACCATACCAATACCATACCATATAATACCATACCATACCATACCATACCATACCATACCATACCATGGGGCATGCTCTGGACATACTGCACGTATCATGTGTGAATGAGTGGTAGAGGCAGATATGCCGATGAATGCCGCCCGCATGTTGGGGTCCTCAAATGGACACCGCTCGCCTGAGATTATGGCACAGTATGGCATGGCATGGCATGGCATGGCAAGGCATGGAAGGCGAGTGAACATGCAGGAAAAACTGCAAAAGATTGTAGTCTTGATGCAATTAAGTGTTTTGAGAGGATGAAGTGTTTTGAGAGGACGATGATGATGATGATGTGTTTTCGAGTCACCATTTAAAAACGGAAGGTAAAGGAGGCCACCACTGCCAGCTGGCACGGATGCTGCTGCCACGTCAGCATTGAGAAAGGTAGAATCTGAGACGTCTGGTTGGAGGGGACGTTGAAGGTGATTGGGGGAATGGCATGTGATAATAACCTGATTCAAATCGGCTCATGCGGTAACATGCACATGCATATACACATAAGCATGCCATCCATGCACACACACATAAGCATGCCATCCATGCACACACACATAAGCATGCCATCCATGCACACAGCAAGCAAAAACCCTTGCGTTATTGAATCGACATCAGCGTTACAGCAAATAATGACTTGCCAGTGCTGCCGCTGCTGCCACCGCTAAGGAGGTTGCTGATCGCCCACTTGAGATTGCCCCCTGCTGTCATTATTGGCGCTGGTGGGGGAGAGGGAGGGGGGTTGGGGGGGGGGGGGGGGGGGGGGGTGGTGGAAACATGCAGCGACACACAGAAGAACCACCTGCCACTGTTGTTGCCACTGCCGCTGCCGCTGCCGCTGCTGCCATCGCTGAGGAGGTTGCTAATCGCCCACTTGAGATTGCCCCCTGCTGTCATTATTGGCGCTGGTGGGGGGATGGAAACACACAGCGAAACACGAGAGAAACGCTTGTGCTGTCAGTGCTGCCGTCACTGCCACTGCTGCTGCTGCTGCTGCTGCTGCTGCTGCTGCTGCTGCTGCTGCTGCTGCTGCTGCTGCCGCTGCTGCTGCTGCTGCTGCTGCTGCTGCTGAGGAGGGTACTAACAGCCACTTCAGAGGCTGCTGCTGCTCCATGGTCAGGTATGGTCAGGTATGGTCGATACTGACACATGGGCAATGTTTGGGGACGAGACATGGGTATGCATGCGCGTTCATTCAGACATGCACGTTCATTCAGACATGCACGTTCATTCAGACATGCGCGTTCATTCAGACATGCGCATTCATTCAGACATGCGCGTTCATTCAGACATGCGCATTCATTCAGACATGCGCGTTCATTCAGACATGTGCGTTCATTCAGACATGCGCGTTCATTCAGACATGCACATTCACGCAGACATGCGCATTCACTCAGACATGCGCGTTCACTCAGACATGCACGTTCACTCAGACATGCGCGTTCACTCAGACATGCGCACGTGCAGGAAAGAACACATCACTGGCGCTGGTGGGGGATGGACAGGGATATTGGTGGGTGCTATTTGCACTTTTGAGGCGCCTCAAGAATTGCTATTGGCACATGGGTGCGTGCGTTTGGCACATGGGGTGTGTGCGTTTGGCACATGGGTGCGTGCGTTTTGCACATGGGTGCGTGCGTTTTGCACATGGGTGCATGCGTTTTACACATACTGGTGGTGCTATTCGCATGTGGGTGCGCTTGGCTCATGGGGGGGGCCATGGCTCATGTGGGCCATGGCTCATGTGGGCCATGGCTCATGGGGGCCATATGGTCGCTATCGGAAGATCCGACAAGGTACGTGATATTGCATGCATGACCAAGCACGTGCACACATACATGACCTCACTCATACCTTAAACGCCACACCTCAAACTCCATCCTCACCGATCTCCACCCATCCTCACCACTCTCCACCCATCCTCACCGATCTCCACCCATCCTCACCGATCTCCACCCACCCTCACTCACCTGTGCAGTAAACCAGTTTTAACATGGGACCTTCAGTTGGTATATGTTGGTATACCTGTTCTGAAGACCAAAGAAGGGTCAGGGTGAGCGAGAGTGAACACGCCCTGAGACCACGAAGGCGGTTGCACCACTGATGCTAGCGGTGACTTCTTGGGTGACTGGTTGGATGGTTGGAAAAGTGGTTGCAGGGAGAAGGACCCAGCAACCCACCTGAATTGTTGACAGGGAGGTGGGATGGGGGGTGAGGGAGGAGTGCGGGAGAGGAGAGAGAGGAGGGAGAGAGAAAAGGCATTTGAGTCGACTCGAAAGCAGGGTGGTTGCAGGGGAAAGGACCAGGCCTCCCACCTAATGTGTTGAGATGGCGGGTGGGATGGGGGGCGGGAAACCCGGGGGTGGGAATAAGGGAAAGAGGGGAGGGAGAGAGAAACAGAACGGTGGTGACGTTGCTCGTGGTGATGAAAGCAACAAACCGGCCAGGGACGGGGAAAGAGGATTGGAAGAGGCAGCACGAAGAGGACTCCAACAGCCGGATTTGGATGGCATGGCTTGGATGGCCGGACTTGGATGGCCTGACTTGGATGGCCTGACTTGGATGGCCTGACTTGGATGGCCTGACTTGGATGGCCTGACTTGGATGGCCTGACTTGGATGGCCTGACTTGGATGGCCTGACTTGGATGGCCTGACTTGGATGGCCTGACTTGGATGGCCTGACTTGGATGGCCTGACTTGGATGGCCTGACTTGGATGGCCTGACTTGGATGGCCTGACTTGGATGGCCTGACTTGGATGGCCTGACTTGGATGGCCTGACTTGGATGGCCTAACTTGGATGGCCTGACTTGGATGGCCTGACTTGGATGGCCTGACTTGGATGGCCTTGGATGGCCTGACTTGGATGGCCTGACTTGGATGGCCTGACTTGGATGGCCTGACTTTAAAGTAGCGAGTTTATAACCTAAAAAGCCAAGCATTTTCAAGGTCTTTTGTCCCTGTCCAAGGAGGGCGCTAAATGCTTTGGAAATTCTGTATTAGTCGGATCGAACACAGCTCAGCCACCTGCCTAAATCTTCTGGACATCCGATCAAGTTGGGAGCTTTGACTGATCTACAACCGTGATTTGTTTGAATCACATAGCTAACATCCACCTCCCTGCATCCTTCTTCCGCCTCTCATTGCTCAAGGAAACAGCATTGAAAGACCTCGAGTGCTTGAGAGGTTGCCGAAGCGTTGCTCAAACACTCAAGCACTTTCAATACTTTTTTCCTGAGCAAAGTGAACCGGAAGAAAAACGACAGGGAGGGGGTGATAGCTATGTGATGGCAAGCCCAAAAACAACTCACGGAGAAGGCGTAGCGTAGACCATTCTCTATGATCTCTGATGACCTTGAGCAAGATTTGATTTCCAATTTGAAGGGAAAATAACAGAGTAAACTCTGCGACAGGTATGCCTGATCTACACCTGGTGTTGCTGCTGAGAAAACCAAACCCTACGAATAATGAATCATCTCTTTGAGTGGGGATTCACAACCTATTTTGCTGTGATTGAAGCCTCACCCTGAGGTGCCGAGATAGATGTACTCCGTGCCAGGTACGCCTGATCCACACCTGTTGGGTAAGGGATTGGAAAGGGAATGGGAGAGGGCGGAAAAGGGGAAGTTGGAAAAGGATGTGTGATGTGGGGGTCAACTCTTTAGATTCTGCGAGATTAGGATTTAAGCTAACCAAAACATACAATCTAAACCACAACCAGAGGTACTACTTACAACAAAGTTCAAATCTGCCCCAAAAGCACTGTAAGACGCTGTATCCAAAAACGAAGTGCCCAGCGGTACAGGTACTAATTACCCGACAGCAGACGCTCCCAGGTCTCCACACGAGTGAAACACAGGAATGCCCGCCAGGTGGCGCGCTCCCATTAGCTCCGCTGCTTCCACGGATAAGGTGCCTGTTGAAGCCACGTCAGCAGAGGCAGGATCTAAGCGTTGGTTCAGGTTTTGAAAATCAAATGCGGGTACAGACACATGTCACAACTGGATATTTGATGCTCTATTGCTTGGGGGATTGTTGAATGGCAGCGGCACAATAGTGGGTGGCACACTGACCGCATGGTCGGGTCAGGTGGGCGGCAAACTGACCGCATGGTCGGGTGGGCGGCAGAATCTCAGGGAGGAGAGGCAGCCATTGGGAGAGGCCCAGTGAGTGCAGCAGGTCGGCAGCATATGAGATGCCTGCGGGAGAGAGGAAGAGGGGAGACAGCAGAATATTATATTGTACTTTTGAGTCGACCGGAAATTAGTAGATAGCAGATAGCAGATACTAATGGCAAGCAGTACCTTGCTTGATACTACAGCAGGATGATTTCCTGTGGAGTATCCATAGCAGGGAGTATCCATACTAATGGCAAGCAAGGTACTGCTACTGCTGTTACAGACTGTGCAATGACACGTGGCAGCGGAACTTTGGTTTTTGTGGCATGTGGCATTATACCAGTGGTGGATGGACACGTGGCAAGGCCTGTGGTGGAGAGTGTGGTGCAGTCCACAACTCGAGCGGGCCGACCAATCAGGTGGCTGCACACGTAGGCATGGCTGGGACGGCAGGGAGTGGGGGGGGGGGTGGGTGGGGAAGTAGGGTGGTGTGGTGGTAGAAGAGAAAGAGAAGGGTGAGAAACGTCAAGCATCAAAGGGAATGCTTGAGTTCAAAGTACACATTGGATAATTTCAAAAGTACTGACACGGTTTCAGAGCACAGCACAACAGAGGTCAACAGAGGTCAACAGAGCAGATAATGCTCAATATGGCCAAAACTCTGTCTCAAACCGAGCTTCACGCACGCGCCGAGAAGCAGTGAGGAAGATTCCTTCAGCGTTTGTGGTCGGTGACGCTGCAGCCACAGGAGCTTCGCCAGCACGCTGCGGGGTACAGCGGGGTGGGGTGGGGGGAGGGTGGTGGGGTGGGGGGCGGGTGGGGGGCGGGGAATGGAGCAGTGGGGGACGGATGGAGCAAGGTGAGCTGGCAAAAAGGGCAGAGCGTGGGGGGAGGGTGGGGGGCGGGTTGACTTTTGAGTCGACTCAAAAGTCAACTGAGCTGGCAGAATGGGCACAGCGTGGGGGAGGGTGGGGGGCGGGTGGGGAGGAGAGTGGGGAGGAGGGTGGAGGTTTGGGGTTTGAGTAGAAAACCGGTCAGTGCTGCTGCAGCCAAAGGAGCTTCACCAGCACGCTGTGGGGTACAGCGGGGTGGGGTGGGGTGGGGTGGGGTGAAGGTGGGGAGGAGGGTGGGGGGCGGGGAAGGGAGTAGTGGGTGACGGATGGAGCAAGAAGAGATGGCAGAATGGGCAGAGCGTGGATTGGGTTTTGAGTCGGGCAAAAGCCTGCTTGCTGCAGCTAAAGGAGCTTCGTCGGCATGCTGAGGGGTACGGTGGGTGGGGTGGGGTGGGGGGAGGGTGGGGAGGAGGGTGGGGAGGAGGGTGGGGAGGAGTGTGGGGAGGAGGGTGAGGTTTTGGGGTCAAGTAAAACACTGGTCAGTGCCGCTTCGCCAGCAAGCTGAGGGGTACGACAGTGTGGGATGGGGGGAGAGGAAGAGAAAGCTTGGGAGGTGACCAAGGCGCATGTTTTAAGCATCCATGTATACTCCAATCCAAGACATGCCACCCTGCATCTGCTTGCAATCAGAATCAGGTGGCTTTTGAGTCGACTCAAGAGTCACCTTGGGAGGTGACCAAGGCGCATGTTTTATGCATGCCTGCATGCATGCTCCAAGACATGCCATTCTACATCCGCTTGCATGCAGAATCATTCATGCCTGATGCCTGCTGGCCTCTGTGCATTGGTATGTGTGCCGCACACCTGGTGGCTTGTGTGCCGCCCTATGGTGACGTGTGTGGCGCGAGTGCCGCCCACCTGGTGCCATGTGTGCCGCCCACCTGGTGGGGCCTTGTCTCATCCCGGTGGCTGCAATGATTGCTTCTTCGCCTCCTGCCAGCATTGCCATCTGCATTCAATCCAACACACACATGTGCACATGCACATGCACATGCACATGCACATGCACACGCACATGCACATGCACATGGACATGCATATGCACATACAGACACACACAGGCACACACTCGCATGCACAAGCACGGCAAGTATTTAACCCCATTCACACATTACCAGCTACGCTGTCCCTCCTCATCTCCCTAGTTCCCCTCACCCCCCCACCTCTCCTACCTCTCAACAGTGGGTCAGACTGGCAGGGGGAGTAATTAATAATGATTCATAACAGGACAACTACATTCTTCTTTCGAGAGATAACATTAGCAAGGGTTGAGTATCCCTCTCACTCGCCCCCTCCTCACCCCCACAGTTTCCTCACCTCCCTCGCTTCAACAGTCGCACGCGCATCAGAGTAAAGAATGGCAGGGGAGACGGCAGTGCAGCTGTTAGGCGACCAATCCTGGAGGGACACGTGGACACGTTGGAGCGTGCAGTAGCGTGCACGATGGGGGGAAGGGGTTGGGGAGGGGAGGGGAGGAGGAGGAGGGGGTGGAGTAGAGTTAACAGGAGGGCGAAAGACCAAAGCAGGTGTCATTCTAAGGCTGGGAGGTAATATGTGAGGAAGGTGACACCTTAAGAAGGTGGTGTCTCGAGAAGGTGGTACAGTGGGAAGGTGGTACCTGAGAAGGTGATATCCTGGGAAGGTAATTTCCTGGGAAGGTGGTATCATGGGAAGGTGGTACCTGGGGAAGGTGGTAACTGGGGAAGGTGGTGGTACCTGGGGAAGGTGGTGGTACCTGGGGAAGGTGATAATTGGGGAAGGTGGTACCTGGGGAAGCAGGATGACGTCTTGCATCTGACCGGTCACCGCAACACCTACCACCCTCACCGCACTCAAACGTTCGCCACTCACTCCGCCCCGCTCCCCTTCCCCACCCGCACTGCTCCCCTTTTTCCGCCCATCCATGCTCCCCTTCCGCCCATCCAAGTTCCCCCTCCACCCCTTTGTGCTGCTCCCCCCCTTCCGCCCATCCAGTTGCGCCAGGCACTCCCCAGCTGCGCCCGCCGCCGCTCTCCACCAATCAGACGGCTCCTGCTCCGCCGTCTGCCGCGCCTGCGCCACGTCATCATCCGCGCCACGTGGCGGAGCGTGCGGCCAGAACGCAGAAGCCACGACAGCGCCATGCCACGTCACCACAGCCGCCTTGGTCCCGCCCGTGCCCACGTCTATCGCCAGAACCGCCTCCTCCGCTTCGCGTTTAAGAGCATCCCGTTTTAAAGACGTCTCTAACTTAGTGCTACCCCCTCCCGTTTCCGCGTCTGTCAGGCCTATCGTTCGGCCCGCCTCCTCCTCGTCCACCGTAGCTCCCCTAAACTTATCATTCGTTCGCGACTCGGACTTAAGCGACGCCGCGGCTTCATGAGCAAACCGCTTTCTTCCCGTCTTGTCGTATAGGCCGTCCAATCCAGGCGTGACACGGTGGATTTGGCCGGTGCTCGCGCTGTGCCTGTACCCGCCGTGGTTCCCGCCGGTGTTACCAGCAGTACTGATACCGATACAAGCATGAGCATTGAATCTACCTCCCCCATGTAAGCCCTTACAGCCAACGCCTTCACCGGCTGATAGACTCCTGCGCGACAATATTAACTTCCGCCCTACTCTCTTCGAGTCGACATGGCAACAGTGGGTTGGATGGGAGAGAGCGACGGCCGGAGGTGAGCATTTTTTCGGAGCAGCTACTAGCGTGGACGGCAGCATCGACGGTGTGTGAGCGTCCGAGTCGCGCACATGGAACGTATGTGACTCTTAGAATTAGCGAAGCGGAGGTTGCATGAGCGGGACTGATAATCAATTCGAGATGGCCCATCATGCGTCCACTTCAAAAGCTGCATCGGTTCTCTACATGGAAACGAATGAGAATCCATGTGAAACATTTATTTCTGCTGCTCTTTGACTTGTGTTCCACGATAATGTAGACATTGTGTATCCTTCTGTTGTCTAGCTATAATTTGTATATCTTTACAAGCTCAAGTTTTTTCCCTGACAAAAAAATGTATACATTGGCATGAGAGACTACCTGTTTTTCTTGGTTAGCATATGTTAATTGTGATGTTAAGTACAGTGCCCTTAACTTCATTCATTGTATTGGAAGTTCATATATTCACAGCTTCGTTATTGATTAAATTAACGCACCTCTTACAGCTTGAAACAATTCCGTTTTGGTTTGCAGCTGGTGAGGGAACAGTCCTCAGGCAGTTGTATCGTCTTCTGTGACCGGATGCATTGCTCCCCCCCTCCCCAGCCTGAGCGGTTTTCGCCGCCACACCCTTGCGTTGCGACATGCCCATCCGCCCACCCACCCACTTCCCCTCCAGCTCTGTCTTCGGTTCGTGCGTCATCGTGTGGCTAGCTCCAACCCACAAATCAAAACCGTCGAAAGGATGGAAGAGTACAGAAAAGATTTTCGATGTGCGCTTCGCAGCAGACTATCTCCCTGGAAAACAGGTTGATCAACCACCTGCGCCGAGAAACCTATGGCTCTTCTCCGTTTTCTCAAAGCAGTGAGTGTCACTTTTCTTATTCCACATGATGTTTACTATAAGTTTCTATGGGAGCGCCTTGTTAGGCTGTGGCTTTGTGTCGTCCTTAAGAAGTTTTTCCGCACTCAATAGCTCATGCTTCAAATATGCAACGCGCCCTGGTATCTGAAGATGTTTGAACAGACAAGCCAGATCATTTTTGTTTTGTAGCAGGTTCCAGCAAAGTGGCACCTGAAGGGTCAGGAGGTTTCTACGACTCTCGCAAAAAGCTAATGTTTTCGCAAATTTACTGGTGACGAACCATGATCCATGATGTGCCTCCCTCATCATGCACCTCCTTCCTGACCAGAAAGTCGCCCTGCGTTGGCCTGCCGACATGTCCAAGCCAATCACATCCCTTGAGACATGCCCATCTCGCCCGTTTTCACAAACGCATCCTCATCCATGCGTCCTCCTCTGACCATCAACCACTGTGACAGTATTTTTTTCAGGGGCATTTTCAGGCAGTCTGAGCTCTGCGCTTCCAGCAAAAGAGACACCTTCCTCCGCAAACTCTTCACCCAAGTCCCAACCATCCAAGCATTCGAGCTATTTGCCGGCCAAAGTGGAAGCCTTGTCTCTCTGCGATTAACACTAGCAGAGTGCACAAACAGCAGTGAGCATCACAGTACTTCCACAACCTGACCATTTTCCCGTGGAGCCGTACTAACCCAATTTTTTCATTCTTTTTCCCGTAATATTTAGAAAGTTCTCCTAGTCCGTAACAGCGCGAAATAATACCAGCCAGGCAAACACACGCTATGGCCGTCCCATCGCAGCGTACGCTGCGCGTCGTCTGCATTTTACTCCTCATCGTCCTCCCCTGCCTCGTCGAGGCCAAGCGGAAAAAAAAGAAGGGAGACACGCCACCCCTGCCGTCCGTCCGCTTCTACAAATCTACAGTTAAAGTCTCTTACGCGGGAGTAGCGAAAATTACCGCCACGGCCGCGCAAGGCGCGGGGGTTCAGAGCCGACAAGTGCTGGAGACTCCAAGAAGTCAACTCGGTAGCCGCCGTCTATTGCAGGACGACAGCATTGTGATCGATACCTCGGCTACCGACCCTTCTGCCGAGCCTGCTGAGGACGAAGGGCAGCCGGACCTGGACTTCGATCCTCGGCCGCTGCTCCCGCCCGCGGATCTGACCGGAGCCACCGCGGTTAGTATTCTCGCTCTTGGAAGGCACATATTCTCGTTCAACAAGGCAGTTTTATTTGGAAGTTTGACTTCGCAATAAGTACTGCGCGTTTGCGTGCCGTGTATGTGAATGAGTTAGTCTAGGCATAGCCACCGTGGTCATAGCGCAGCGTCCGTGTGTGCGGATCGCCTTGTCGAGTTAGTTAGCCCGGACTGTTGGCAGTTGCAATGCTGGCAGTCAGCGGTACTTACTAGTAGGCCGACGAACTCGCATTTGCAAGAAAACGTCGCAGTCGCTTGTTCGCACATGGTTAAGGCATACAAAAGTGCTGTATCAGACTGTTACGTGACAGTCGCTTGACGACGCGCGGGATCTCGCGGAATCGCGAAATCGACGAAATTCGCGAAAGTTCGTCTAGGTAAGTCAAGTCGGCGGCTTAGAGCAGTTTTTGCGAGTCACCGTATGCGTTAGCTTAGGTGACGACACGGGCGGCGGCACCAATGGCGGCATGATAGTAGGAACGCCTTGCAATTTTTACCCGGAGCTCTGCATAACACTTCCGAGACAGTCTATTGCTGTGTCAGGGCGATGGTCACGGTCGCAACAAGAATGCTCCCATGTCGTCCGCGCCGCTCTTTACAATACCGGAGCGGCTTCTCTGAGTCGGAGTAGGACGCACCGAGGGGCCCACATATGAGGCGTTTCCGTCTCGCGCGCTCATCCCCCCCCCCCCCTCTGCCCTCTTTCCCTCCTCCCTACCGGGGTTTCCTCTCCATTTCTCCCTCGCGCGCGTGTGTACGCGTTACAGGACCTCGCGGCGGCTAAGAAGAGAAAGCCCAATGCGTTTCTATCACTGACGGTCTTAAAACTTGTCTCTCCATTTCTCCCGGGCGCGTTTGTACTCATAACAGGACCTCGCGGCGGCCAAGAAGAGGAAGCCCAAGACGTTTCTATCGCTGACGGCCGCCAGCTTCTCGCCGTCAGTTCTCAAGAGCGGCGTCTCCGCCTATCAGACGGCCTCCACGGGCACCGCCGCATACGCCGGCACGCACGGCGACTCGACCGTGCCTGACCCATCCGTGTGCGCCGGCAGCAACTACGTCGTGCAAGTCGTCAACTGGGGTAGGCTCAACCGCACGCACTTTCCTGTTCCTCACTTCCTCCTCTCTCTCTTCTCTCTCTTACCGTTTCACACTCGTCTTGCAGTCAACGAGTTCCTTGCGATCTCGGTACTCAACGCGCCCTCTCCTCCCCGCCTCTCTCGCGTTTCCCCATTCCCTCTCATCCCCCTCCCTTCTCTTCCTCTACGCAGCTATCGTGGTGTTCGACGGCAGAGGCCAGGCGCTCACGGCGCCGGTGGCGCTGAACGAGTTTCTGGGCGTGAATCCGTATCGCGGCAGCGGCACGGTGGGCGATCTCGTGACCAAGGCGTCGTGCGTCTACGACTCGGCGACCAAGCGATTCTTCCTCTCCGCCGCATGGCTGGTACGGGTGGTGTTTGAGTCACATTCTTGGTTTCTCTTTGTCTTCGGGTTCACATTCGGGTTGTGTTCTTTGCTGCCCTAGATCTCCCCCGCACACATTATTCCCCCCCACCCCCTCCTCTCTCCGCTCGCCTCCCATCTTTCCCACCCCCCATCCCAACTGTTCTCAACTCTTTATCTCTACCCGCACTTCCCCCCTCCTCTCTTCCTCCCCACTCAGGCCGGTAACTCGAACGCGTACGACAAGTTCGGCCAGACGCGCAAGGACAACAAGGGCGTCTCGCGCGGCTCGGGCATCGTGCTCGCCGTCTCTGCCGCGGAGAAGCCGCTCGACGCGTGGAGCGTCTATTTCGTCGGAACCACTAACGACGGAACCAACGGCCCGGATGATCACCTGGCGCCGCTCGCGTATTCCGGCGAGCTGTTCTACAACACGTACCCGCGGCTCGGGGTGGACGCGAACGGAGTGTATGTGACGACGCAGCAGGCGACGTACTCGAATGTGGACGACGTGTGGCAGGGCAGCAACATCTTGTAAGTCGCCTCGGTCATATTCGAATGTGAACGGCTGTTGCTGTTGCCTCGGTGTTCCTCTGTGTGTGTGTGAGTCTGCGTGCGCGGTTGTGTCTGTTGCTGTGCGTGCGTGCGTGCGTGCGTGTGTGTGTTTGTGTGTGTGTGTGCCCTCGTGTTCGTTCGAGCGTTGCACTCTTTCCCCTCTTCTTTCCCTCGCCTTTCCCCCATCCTCACCCCACCCCCGCCCTCTTTGAATCACCCCCCTGGTCCCTCCCTCCAACAGTGCATTCAGCAAGGCCGCTCTCCTCAAGCAAGCGGACATCACAGCCGTCCGATTCGCGCTCCCGCGCATGTCCCGCACGGATCAAACGGTCCTCCAGTACTGGACCATCGAGCCCGCCGCGTCCCCCGCGGACGGCAAGTACGACCTAACCAACAAGGGCACCATGTGGTTCGGAGCCTACGACGTCTCCTGGGCCATGTCCGGCCACTCAGCAGTCTTCGCCTTCGCGCTCACCAATACCGTCTCTCTCTCAGCCAACAACCCCACCCTCACGCTGCTCACTGCGATCGCCAACTGCTCGTTCTACTACGACTGGTCGAGTTCCCAGCAAAAGCCTGGGCTCGCGCCGCTCGCCGAATCCTACAACAAGGATACGCCGCTGATCGTCCCTCCCCGGAGCACGTCGGTGGCGCTATCAACCGGATTTCTGTGGATGGTGGTGCCGACCGGGACGACCATTTCGCCAAATTCCGAGGCTGGGTTCATGCTGGTGAAGATGAAGGCCACGGTTGCCAAGGGCCCCTCGCCCGCGCTGACGCTCGCGGTGGCTAGCGCGATGATCTACAACGTCCCCATGAACAACCTCATTGCTCCCACCATTGCCTTCAACAAGTGAGTCGCGTGTGTTCTGTCGTGTGCGTGACGATGCTGTGTCCATCATGTCACGTGTGTTGTGCGCCGGTGCCGATGCTCGCGGTGGCGAGCGCTATGATCTACAACGTGCCCAT